TATATCTCCCCTCCTTCCCTTTCTCTATCTTCAACTAACCACCACCACCGAAACCTTCGTTGCAGATCTACAACACCTATGAACAACATATATAAAGCCCCAACGTCTTCGACAATGAGAAACATGTTGAGAAAACCCTAAACGGTGGGCGATGGTGAGATCTCTAGTGAAGTCGAGTTAAAGGAGGTGGTGGTGTGGAAAAACCCTTAACTGCGATGGTGAAATGTCGTCGCCGCTGTGAAGGGTTTCAGAACCCACTTTGCGGTGGTGGCTTGCTAGAAATGTTGTCGTTGTCGTTAGTCTTGCAGATCCAGATACTCACAATGAATAGAGGATCAACATTGTCCTTCGTATTGCAGCTAACATTAGTCCTTCGTCTCTCCAGAAAAATAACGACGCCGTTCGTCTTTCTAGATCTGAGCCGTAGGCCTGAAGTTCGACATAGATGGTGGCAACGGTAGGAAATCCCATATCTGAAAAACCTCTTGTCGTCGCCTATCATAGTAAACCCTAGCGACATTGTGATTCGACGAAGGAGACGATAAAACTAGAGAAGACGAATGACGACATCAGTTTGGTGGTTTTCGATGTAAATGGTGTCTGTAGCGCTGATTTTGGTGGTTTCCGCTGAATATGGTGGCGGTAACGGCGGTGGTTTCTGACGAAAACGGTTGTTTTCGACGAGGCAGTGGTTTCCAACGAAACTGTAGAGAGATAGAGAGAGAGAGACAGAGAGAGAGAGACAGAGAGAGAGACTTTTATGTAGGGTAGGTGTATTTAGGGGTATGGTTATATTTAATTTTTTGTTTTATTTTTATTTTTCTTTCAATCAGAAAACTATTTGAATAAATAAAAAAAATGAAAAGGAAAAAATTAAGGGGAAAACTGTCATTATAAAAAAATACAAATCTTTTTGGACCAAACTCGACATAAAATGAAACATTTGGACCTCTAGTGCTAGTCCAAACATATCTGGACCAAAGTGACAATTTTCACCTAACTACAAGGACCATTCTTGCAATTTTGTCTATAGTTTTCTATATGAAACAAGGATGAATGTTTTAACTTTTTGAAACCATAGAGACTCAATCTATCAAATATTCGAAAGTCGTACTAAACCTGCGAATTTGACCAAACCACAAGGACCATTTCTGTAATTTACGCATAAATATATTAGTTCGAAATACGATCTAAGTTTTTTGTGCCGAAGTTTTATTTTTATTTGGATTAGGGATGAAATTGAGTCCAAACCCGACCCGGATGGACCTGGACCTGGAAAAACCCAGAAACCCGATAACGATATTTTATAGGACGTGAAATCGGATCGGTATATGGGAACCGGATTCGGTACGGTTCCAGGTACGATATCGGGTAAAGTGTGTCTAGAACTGGAAACCTAGAAACATAAAAGTAGGTCGGATGGAACCGGGTAAAGTGTGTCTAGAATCTGAAAACCTAAACACCTGGACAACACCATATTTTTTTTGGTAATTACAAAGTGGGTTGAACCTTGAAAACTTCCAGCTTTGATATCCCGACTTTGATGGACTATAAGTCATTGAATATCAAACCAAAAATATAAAATTATAGTCTAAAATCATATAGAAGATCTAAACTATGCGTTTGGAAAAACCGCATGCTAATCCGACTTCAAACAAATTAGATATGCATGTTCTAAAATTTTCACAAAATATATAAAAAAAAAGACTGAAAAACTGAAAATTTTCAGCTTTAATATGCCAACTTTGGGGGACTGTAAATCAATGAATATGAAACTAAAAATGACAAAATTATAGTCTAAAATCATATACAGATTCTAAGCTACACGTTGGAAAAAATCGCATGCTAATCCGACTTTAAATAAATTAGATATGTATGTTTTAAAATTTTCATAGAATAAAAAATGAAAAGCTAAAAATTTTCAGTTTTGATATCCCGACTTTGTAGATTGTATGTCAATGAATATTATAACTAAAAATGACACAATTATACTCTAAAATTATTTACAAACTTTGAACTACATGCTGAAAAAACCACATGTCAATCTGACTTCAAATTAATGAGATATACATGTTTTTAAATTTTTCACAAAAATCGGTTTGGACCCTTAAAACTGGTTTGGTTATGGCTCTTAAACCCAGTTTACCCGGACCCAAAACTGGATAAAATCATTCTTTAAATCTGAAACCCGGACCGATTTTACATATTCCGGTTTTAACGATTCCGATTTTCTAATTTTAAATCTCTATCCCTAATTTGAAGTTTTATCCATATTTGCGTATAAGAAAATAGAGACTAGAGAATTAAAACATGCCATAATTAACTACTTCAGCAAATTTTATAACAACACCTGAAATAAACATTATGAAAATTTAAAATACATAAAAGATATTAAAAAAACATTTTTTTTGAACCGGCAAAAGAGAGATATATAAATAAAAGAAAAGCAAACCCCACCTAGCAAGAAACTAAGGGGAAACAGAGTACAAGTTTAAGAAAGTAAAACAGAGACCATTACATGTTACTAAATGGATATGAAATCCATTTTGGCCATATGACATCGTTTTTTTCATTTCTATGCTTAAACCATAAGAAAGTCGATGATATAATGATATCGACAACTTTTGTGGCACACACATTTTTGTTGTTGAATACTCTTTCATTCCTTGCCTTCCATATAGACCATAAAGTCCCATAACAGATGGCCATTAGTCTCCTCTTCTTTTTATGGCAATTTCCCCAGTTTGAAGCATAATCTAGAACCTCGTTTACCGACTGAAAGTCTACCAATGCTATTTGACACCAGTGAAATATCCCTTTCAGAACAGTTTTTGCGAATGGGCATTGCACCAATACATGGATGTCGGTTTCATCATTATGTCCACATTGGCAGCAAGATGTAGAGGGAAGACTGATACCTCGAGTGGATAGAGCCGAGGTAGTGGGGATTCGTCCTAACTTTGCCCTCCACACAAAGCATGTCACTTTGATTGGTACTTCTTTAATCCACCAGAATTTTCTTGCGTCTACACTATTGTTCACTTCAAGCACCTGTCTAAGTGCGTGCACCTGGTAATTCCCATCATCCGTAAGGTTGCAGGTCCAAGAGTATCCGTTTGACACCTCATGCTTTTTTATGACATCGGTGGGAGGGATGCCCATTTTGACTAGTTCCTTTTCGATACTTGCAATATTATTCCAGGCCCCTGCAATTGATTTCATGGAGTAATGATTATCGGGTTTGTTAGCAAGGTTATGTATGCTTGAGATGACTTTGGCCCACAGTAAACCGGGCTCATTTCGAAGCCACCACCACCATTTAACAATTAAGGATGTGTTGAGAGCTTTTATAGATCCCACACCCAATCCTCCAACATCCTTGCTAGCTATCACTTTCTCCTATGAGACCCACTGAATCTTCTTATTGCCCTCAGATCCACCCCATAAAAACCTCCTTCTAAGTTTTTCAAGTTTCTCCAGTACCCCAGCAGGTGTGACAAAGAGAGACAGGAAGTAATTTGGAAGATTTCCATGGACAGATTTAATTAGTGTCAATCGCCCACCAAATGAAAGCGTTTTCGCTTTCCATGACGACAATTTTTTGTGAAACTTATCAACAATTGGATTCCAATGTTTTATGAGTCTCATGTTAGCGCCCACGGGGACTCCAAGATACGTGAATGGCAATACCGATGGTTCACAACCTAAGGGTGTTGCCCAACGAGACACCTCTTGCGGACAAGCTCCCACTCCGAACAACTTTGACTTGTTGAAGTTGACTTTAAGTCCCGAAGCCACATGAAAACAACGTAGGATTCTTGCGAGGTTTTTTATGTTGTGTTTGGACCATTCGCCTACAAACAGTGCGTCATCCGCATATAGGAGATGTGAGATTAGCGGCCCCCTATGTGGCAGTTGGATGCCTTCGAAGACACCAGCTTGGCAGGCTGCTCTCATTGTGACACTAAGACCTTCCATGGCCGTGATGAAGAGGAAGGGGGAGAGAGGATCTCCCTGACGGACTCCTTTTGAGACTTTGAACTCATCTGTGGGATTTCCGTTGATGAGGATCGATGTATGAGATGAATGAAGGCACCCTTTGATCCACATTTAATTTAATAAAAGAAGATTAAATAATATTGAATGACATAAAGTTCTAAGAAACAATCATTAAATGTCATTATATATATATTAATTACCAAAATTGGTTTGTGAGGGGTATCACTATTCGTTTGGTTTTGACTATTTCCAAAGCACAAATAACTATATTCAGATTAAGTTATTATATAGAAATAATACGGTACAAGTTCTAAAATAAGTCTTCTTTTGAAAATAAAGATTTTGTTTCTAACAATAGCAAATCTTTATATTTACATTTCTTTCCCTGAAGTAATTTTAATTGAACACTTTTCATCCTTGGTAATTATAAAATAAAACTATTAGTATTTAATAAGTTACTACTTACGTTCCTTACTATATTTATATTTTTACTAATTATATATATATTAATTACCAAAATTGGTTTGTGAGAAGGTTTACTATTCACATCCTAAGCAAAAATAAAGTAAGTCTTCCTACTTTCAATTCTTTTTTCATTTTCATTCCTTTACTTTTATTTGTTTTTATATTTTGTATCCCTAAACTAATTTTGATGTAACAATTTCTATCCTTATAATTTTAAATTTTATATATATTTATATTTTTTCCCCTTAATTAATTTTTATTTAACAATTTTCAACCCTTATAAATTTAAAGTTAAATTATTAGTATTTTATACATTACAATTTGGTCCCTTATTATATTTTAAAGTTATATTTTGGCTCCTTATATAATTTTTTAATAATTCTTTTTTTATTAATTTCTTAAAGATACACTTTCAAGTCAATTGTTTGTATCCATATTTTATTTTGATATTTTTGTGCTCCACTTTATATGATTTAATCGTCTCTATGATATATATGGTGTCAAACTGCGTTTTTTAAAATACCGGAGCTTCCGCAGCAACGCGTGGACGGTCCAAACCCTAGTTTTTTCTCTATTTTCTAACCCCACCTTACTTTTTTTTCCCTCATTTTTTTAAGATAATGAAACGCATTAACTCAAATAAAAAAAAATTATCAAAAAATGAATGAAGTTTAAGTCGTCCGTTTAGTTCACCTTTTTAATTTTTCAAAATTGATAGTTTACTTCTATATAATAGTTATAATTTAAATATAGCATTTAATAATTAATATTTGTAATATTCTGTTATATATTTAATAATATTACTTAATCGTAAATATAAAGTTTTTTTAGTTATCAAATTCATATATGAGAAATTTATTCAAACGCTTAAATATGTTTTGGTTTTTTCAATAAATTTATGGTTAATTTAAATTTATTATATACGCAACAATTTATTTTGTTATAATATTTTGATAACATACTTTTAAATATTATTTTAATGAAAAAAAATAGATTATATATTTGTTAAAAGATAGTTAATAGGAGGATGTCTTTTTAACAATTTATATAAATTACACAAATATATTAGAGAGTATTTTTAGAATAAAAAATTAGATAAAAATAAAATAGATTGGAGATGAAATATTATTAATCATATTCATTTAAAAGAAAAATAAAAATAAATTGGAATGGTCGAAGTGTAAAATGAGTCCTAAGAGGATGCGGTATGCGCCAAAAACGAGAAGCAACCGGGTGATGTGGCACCCTTAACGGCGTCGTGACGGGGGAGGGGGGGGGGAACCGCCCCCCCCCCCCCTACTCGTTTTTGCTCGTTATGTTGCATATTGTGGTAACGAGGACAAGATAAAACAAGAAATATGATTGACTATCTCATTCATCAACCAATCAAATAATTTTCTCTATTTTCTCTCTCTACCTCTTAACATGATATAACATGTGGAACACCATTTCCCCCTTGGTGTTATGGTGGTGTTATGGATGAGGTGACACCAATTTGGTGTTACATCTAGTTGCCCACACCCAATGCTCTAAGAAGAAGGCCGTAGGCACTTAACTAAGCTTCAGTACTTCAGGCACTGGATAATTGAACAAATGCTTTGCATTGCTTACCTGTATAATTTTTTCAGGACAGAAAATTTTATAAAAATTAAAAAAGATAAGCGAAAAACTGGACACATAATATAAAATACAATATAAAAGAAAAAGGAAAAAACATATTACCAATATGATTATTAATGTAAGCATTAAATGAAAAGGTAATCCTTGGACCTTATCACCTTAATGCATTTGATGGCTTATGGTATACAAAGAAATCTTTTTACTAAAATCTTCATAAATAAAATTAATATTAATTTCTTTTTGTAAGATTTTAGTTTATATTGTGTATTAAATTAACTTCATATTCTTTCCATTCCAGAAATATAGCATTTATAATCTTATACTTTTTTAATTGATGATCAAATATAAAGAGCGATCGTAAACAAATTTTGTTCCATAGAGAGTATAAAAACACAATTTTGTGAATAGTTGTTTCACTCATTGTCAAACGACGCGAAATCAATATAAAAAAAACATACAAGCATTAGCAATGAAGCTTATAAGCATGTGTGCTATATTTGTATTACTTATCACAACACCAATTGCAACATCAACATCTACATCAGGTAATTTTACATATTTTGTGTATATGATTATTTATATAATACTAGTATATGTGTTTGTCAATGATGCGTTTATTAATAAATGATTTCAACCTCTTAATGGTTAAAAAAGAGTAAAACTTTTAACTGTTTAAAAGCTTTTGATTCATTCTGATTACTTTAGAGGTTGTATAAAATGCACTGATGATCAATTCAGTGTGACAATGTGACATATGAATGATTTCATTCGCAAATTATCTAAGGCCCCAAATCTCTTATGGCTTTAATATATTTTTTATAACGAAGATTGTGTACTGTTATGACTTGTTTTAGGCGTTGTGAATACCGAGAGCAAGATTAACATCAACTTTTGTCAGATGTATCTTAACTAGGGTAGCAGTTGTCAAGATAAAAATTGCAATGATTATTGTAGCAACTTGAAGGGGAAATTCTCATGGGGAGTTACGTAACAATGTATGGTATGGTAAGGTGTCATTGTCAATGGCCTTGTTAAAATGTTGGGTTATTTCCATAAAGACTCTATATTTTGATTTTTTTTTTTTTAGACCTAAAACTTTTTTCTTTTTCGAAAAATACCCAACTTTTACATGTTACTTGTTGTTTTAGACGTAACAGGTCATCAAAAGGGAAATGAAGTATTTTTATTTCATAAAAGACCCTACGTTTAGTACTTTTTCCAATTTAGACCTAAAATGTTTTTTATATCAAGACTAGTTATATAAAAACGTGATTATATCATTTTAGTTTAAACATAGACATCGATTTAAACAATGTAATTATTATGCCTACATTTATTTATAATTGGACAATTCTTTGTCCACGTATATTTATACAAAAAAAAGGAGTTGTAAAAGCTATTTCTTCACTACACCAAATTCATGTAGCTTAATTTCGTCAAGACATAAAAAACACACTTATATTCTTTTAGTTTAAATAATAGACAACGATTTAACTTTTGCATCTTTTGGCGTTGTATTGATTTACGCATGAATTTTTTTTTAAACCATTACACATACAATGAAGTTGTATAGTATAATTTTTTTTTTCACGAGTGTAATATAAATAATAACAAAATGTTTTGTCTACATTTGGGAAAATTTACAGTTTCTAGCTCCAAAACTTTTTTTTTATATTATTGGTTTAATTAGTTTTTCGATTTCAGTTACCTAGAACAATTACCAAAAGCTAGGAGTTTAACACATAGACATGTGAAGTCAAATTTCCTAACAGCACAAAAGAGATTTTATATAATTTTAAGATCATAAATTCAATAACCAATTGAGTACCAAACATCTTCAAGTTTTTTTAAATTAAAATGAAATCCTAAATTTTATTTTGGTAATTAATATGATTATACTTAAGAATCAATAACTACGATATACAAACACCATGTGTTTGGATATTTAAGTGTGCGGTATCATTTTTGTTATTTGGATTTTTAACTTATGCTCAAATGGTTTCATTCCCATAATATAGTTTTATGTATTTATATGTGATGTTAACATTTTTTAAGAATGTCTTAAACTTGAATCTGAT